TTGAGAAGTCGAACACCGTTGGGAGGTGATGCCGAAAGAAAACTCACGGTCGGGAGAGAGTCGAGTTCATGGAGTTGAGAGATGGGTGTGGCTAGGTTAAGTGACTGCCTTGATTTGAAACCGGAAAGCCGAAAACAGCAACTACGGACGGAAATGGTCGACCTGAACCCCCGTTCGCATGCGGCGTGCAATCGATACAATCCGATCGAGTAACGAAGGAAATTGCGTCTCGTAGAGATATTATTCCCTTCTGTATACGAGTCTTGGTTCCAATCTACTCTCAAGCCGTGGGAGGCGTGGTGAGTAGAGTGAATTGAAACAAGAGGAGAATCACGACACGATGTCGGATGGTGGTTGGGGAAGGTTGACAAAAGCAGGCAAGAGAGTGCGGAGGGAGGGAGAGTGCAGGTGGAGTGGGATAAGTATGGAACAGGACATGGAACTCTGACGGACAGTAAGAGCGTAACACAGCCCGGTCGCAGCGAAAAAGTGGGAACCACAAGGCGATGGGCGGGTAAGTGCGAAGGGGAAGGAAGAAGAGGAGTGGAGGAAGGACCACCCAGCCCAGACAAGACACATCAGACACCCCAAGGGCCGCCAAACCAAACCGAGCAAAGTGTGGCAGAGACGTACCCAAGTATCCCTACCTTACCTTCCAGTGTACGGAGTAATAGGTAGGCCAGTTGAAAAGGTGCAAGAAGGCACCACGGCACACGAAGGAAAGAGGCACTGAGGCACAGAGCGAAAGGAAAGACTGGGGAAGAGCGATGGAACGGAGAAGCGGCCTGCAAGATGGGATTGGGCAGGGTATGAGTTAGCCCGCGCCAGGGTTGTATGCAAGGAGGTGGAGTTGCTGAGAAACCGGGTCTTCTTTGTGAGGTGGTGTTGGTAACCTGGCACGCTGCACGCCGGCCTGGATGAAATGGATGTTGGCTGCCCTCACACTGTGCCACTGCGAAGCCTCAGATTAGCATTTTCCAATCTGTGCTGGTGCACACACCTTCAAGCCAGGTAGGGGCACGAAAGGGTGTCATGGAGACGGGCGACCAAACTGAGCATACCTGAGGACGGATAGTGCCCAGTACCGACTGCTTCGTAGATACCGAGACAGCACAGACAATCCACCATGGATGAAAGCGCTGCCATTTGAAAGGATTAGACTGCGTATGTACGTATGTAGAAATCCAAGGCATGCGTCTCGTAGGTGACTGAGATGGACGCTCACGGGTCTGAGGGCCGTCAATTGTTGCAAGTCACCTCGTTTGCACCTTCACCCAGCTCGTAGGACGCCCCGGTCTAGTCTGTTTTGGGAAACAAAGCGCCACGCCAGAGACAATGTGAGTGATGGAACTCGACCCTCGGACAGACGACTATACTCCTTTAGGACTAGTGTCATATCTCGCTCAAGTGCTCACATAGCAAGTGGGTTGCTCTCTTGAAATGTCATGGTTGAACTCGTTCTTGACTGGGGAACCGGCAATGAACCGGCGGGGAAACTGAGAAAATGGCCTTCTAAAATCTTGAACAATTCAAAGGCAAGCGTATTGTTCTCAAGATAAGAAATGCAAAAGCAGGCGTCTACAACTAAGGTTGGCCGGGGACTTACCTTACCGTAGATTGTCTCTTCCCGCTGCTTTTGACGGATACAGTGACTTGAGTCTGACTCTGGGCTACCGCCATGGTGCTTAGGTTGGCTTTAGCGTCGCTTGTCTTCAACCCCCTACTAACGGAGCATTTAAGGTACTTTACACAAAATCAAAGCTCAAGCGCCGCTTCCCGTGATGGACAATCCGATTCTCCTCTTCATCCCGGCCAACCCGTTGGTTCTTTGTCGTTGTTCCCGCTGCCGTCATGAGGCTGATACTGCAAATCGCACCCTATCGGATTCCGTCTACCCCTATCCTAGGTAGAGAAATCTCGCATCGAATCAAGGGGCCCAGCATGATGCTGATCTGACACGCAAGGTACCGTATACCACTGCCGAACTCCCTGGTGTTGCCTTAGCTCAAGGTAGTGCGTACCTGCCATCAAGGCGCCTGAAATTCCAAAGAGTCTGCCTGTCGCGCCCGCACAACCTGCACCGCAACACCACCTCAAGTCACGAACACCAATACCGTTCGGGCCTGCTGACACTGCTTCTAAAGAAGAAGGGGTTTCTTTCCCTTGCTGATATCACGTCGGATAAATCATCCGTGCCCTCAGCTTCCATTTCGCCCACTTGCCCGTTCATGATTTGAGTTCCAACATCAACTTCCTCCAAAGCCTCGGCAAATCATCATTTCTCGGTTCTCGACAGGCATGGGTAATGAACAGCCGACCATGCAAAATGTCGTCTTCTTTGTTCCCCTTTGTCTTTGCAACCAAGCCAAATCCCGCACCGCTACGGCCGGGTACTAGGCTACCGGTCAGCTTTAGCCCGCGGTGCGCATCGTCAACGCCATCCGCCCTCCGGCGGCCCAGGCCGATGCTCTGGCGATGCCTCGAAAAGAAAGCAGGGGATGCTGTGGGGATGCGGCGCCGGACGGTGGAAGGGAAAGACCGCGGCACCATGCGGCGATAACCCAACGGAGAATTGCAGCAGCAGAAGCAAGCACCTAGCGGCTTACGCCAGAAGCAAAGTCGACAAGGGTCAGAGTAGGATATGACTGCTCGGTTGTTTCGTCTCTCGCCAAACGATCGCCCGAGTCCAGCTGTCTGGAGCCGCGTGTCTGAGGGTTTGATGTCTCTTTCACGATCATACCTCCTGGAACTGAACTGCCAGCATATTCGCTCACGCCTGACATTGAAACGGAAAGGCATACGACCAGCAGGTACCTAGATGGGCATCCCCAATAGCCATTGCAACCTACGATTATCAGCCGCTTGTACGGAACATGGCCGGAGCAACCAACGTCTACCTGTTGAATTTTCTATGCTTTCTTTTTGCAGCCATTGCGCATTATTCTGTTGCTTCATCCTTGTCCTCACGAACAGGGTTCTTCCAACTTAGAGTGCTTTGGTTTTCCCAGCCCCGGACATGGCGCACATGGATCCATATCACCGAGTCAAGCCAGTGTCAGACGAGCCATCGGATTGTACAAAGTCGGAGTTGAGCGCTGGGTTGTGCCTTGCAGATGGGAGCAACCGAGCACGCCATCACTAATCCGTGTGTATCTCGTTTCTGACGTTCTACTGTGTATTGGTGTGTAGGGAACGCGGCACCAATTCGAGGTACGGCTACCCCGGCCCGGGAGAAGCAACATATCTACCAAGCAAGCCTTCAAATCTTCAACACCAACATTGGCGACTAACCCCTGGCACATCCCGCATAGGGACATGCGAGGAAGAAAGAGAAAGCGAGAGAAAAAAGAAGCACAACACGCACGTATCCGTCCAATACGACGAAAAGCAATAACTCAATCTCCTGGCACGGAATACGACGTCCTTACTGTCCCTCGTCTGGAATACGTCTCAACATCTCAGACATGATCATTAATAGAACCTGCATCTCAGCGCAGCGCTCCGACGAGATGGACGGTCTGAAGGTCGCGAGAACAATTAATAATAGCCACGAACTATTGTTCATGGCGAGTAACGACATGCTGGCTGGCTACCGCTGCACGCTGCAACCACTCGAAAAACCAGATGGCCAGCTTCGGAACGCTAGGGCCGACGGGCAATTGATTTCACCCCATCTTCTCAATGTTTCAGCATCACGGACAAAGACGACGCTTTTTCGCCACGACGACTCTATCGGCAGTGTGGGCTTGCTTGATTCAAGTGTTTGTCAATGTGTCGCCCTCCTTACACAGTCGAATTGACTCCTCGGACCCTACCGCCAGCATTTCGAGAAGATGCACTCACTCGGCCACGTCTAATCGTTGTCAGTGCCACCTCAGCCAGTCCGAGCACTAGACCGCTGCTTTGGCAGTCGGTATTCCCCAGGGTGCCAGGTCAAGATGTCAGACACGAAAGCGCAAGAGCACTACTACCAGAGTATCTGAACTGAGTACTGCTCAGGCAACACGACACATGTATGTCTCACACATCTTATTATCAGATGCCACGACACGAACAACCTTACGATTCTTTGGTCAGTGAACGGCTCTCTTAGACGCTGCTGTGTCTTGCTCCGTCTCAAGAACCAAAGCCCCTGGAAAACGCTCAGGCGCCCACCTAGGAAAGCTTGATCTCCATGGGACCACTGCTGTTCCTGGGGACGACGAAATCGATGTCATGAAGGCTTCCCTTAGTACCTTACATGACTGCCATTGAACCGCCAAATCGTGAAAATGAGCTCCCTAGCGTTATCAGTGATTAAATCATACTATCAGTACGACGACCAAACTACAACTTCGCTTCTTCGGAATTGTATCAAGCTGTCTCGACTGGGGAAACAGGCGCAAAGACAAGCCGATTGATCCGTGACTAACAGGACAACAGTACGAGGAAATAGTCTTTTCACAGTGCGTCTGGGGATACTGGCCCGCTCCAATGGGGGGCTGCTTCGACTAATGACGCTGACCGAAGGTGAGTGCCGTCAAATCCGGACACACCAACTTATCCCCGCCATTGATGACGGCGACGAAAACGGCTTGGCTCCCTGCCAAACCAGAACATTCCCGGTCTTCGTCTGCAGCGTATTTGTATACCGAATATTCTGGGCTTTCAAGCTTCCATCGAAAACTAAGCCTACGATGCAGTATGGTTGCGGTCGCTTCGAACACGTCTGCGCCCCAAATTACAACAGACCGCCCGCTGTAAGCCAAGTTTCTATGGTTCACTGGAAAGATCTCACAGCCTACTCCGTACTCTCCACGTCTATGAGGGAAATTCTATCATACCCTCGAGAGGCTCGAAAGCTGGGAGGCTGGTACGCGGGCCGGCTGTTAACAGAGCCTGTGTGTGCAACTGGGACCATGCCATCAAAGCATCCGCGGCAGAATAATGTCGATCAACTTCTATCGGACCCGGGGTGTTGCAGACGGATCAGTAGATGCCCCTCGCCGTCGGAATGAAATTCATCGGATTGCCCTGGCCGCCGGCAACAACCACGCCATAACCTTTTGCTTCCGGGTCTTGCGGATTTCGACGTTCAACCCCGGAGCCTTCCGAGCCGCACATCTAGGTCTGTCTTTAGGGGCCATCTGACTTAGTTTTCCTTTCCTTCCCGCGCTTTATGGCGCCAACGAGAACACTAACTAATTCGCCTGCCCGCTCTCGTTGCGAGTGGGCGGCACGAGTTGTCTCGTAACTCGGTGGTCGTATTGTAAGGCCACAATTTTCGCGGGGGCCAGATGCTTATCTTCGCCGCGCAGGAATGAGGATATTCTTTTGTCATCAAGGTCATCATCGATTTGACTTTCAATCACCGGAAAACAGCTGGCGCAGGGCTGTGCAGACACGCCATTGAACGTTGAAAGAAGGCTTGCCGATCCCAGATCGCATTCCACGCCTCCAATATCTCCCAGTCGCCCCCCAGCCACTACTGAACATCGGCATTTAAAATATTTGGTGATCATGTGCGGTGTGTCTACGACGTACCTGGCTACAAGCTACAACTGCGGTCCTCTGCTTGTTAGCAACGCGATTTGGTTCCGTATTGATAGTCTCGTATCGTGGATGACCTGTCAGCGGGCCATGCGTGGATCGAGTGGTAACGAACCGCGCCCGAAACAAAATATACAGGCCCCTAATGTGTGAGGCCCTCGGGAGTGTGAAAGTCGAAAAGTCCTGTTTTCGCGAATCACAACGAGACCTGAGCCTACTATTGGATCGCCAGCATTCCATGAGATCATTTTCTATGGAACGACAGGCTGCTTTGTCGTCCGAGCCCGGCCCCCTCTTCATCCGCTCCACCCTGCTCTGGTGCTGTCGATCTCCAACGCCGCGCCATCCGGGGGGAGTCTGGACTTTTTTTCGCCTACGAGTTGGTTGGCTCGCGATAACGGCGATGCGGCAGACGCACCACGGCAGCAAGGCAAAGAGGAAAGCCGTCCTTGATGGGGCTTGTTGCTAACGCCAGCCTGTCAGACGCTTCAGTTCGCTCCCGTCGATCAGTTCGATTTCCGGCGAGCAATTCAAATCTCCCCCAAATCGTCCACGGCGAAAACCCAAGTGCCTGGTAGCGTTCCGAGCATTCCAGACTTTCCACGCGGTCGTCGCGATGCGGCATATGTGCGAGAAGGCTGGCGCCGCGGGAAACTTGGAGAGGGGCAACGATTCTCTCCAATATCGTCGAGTTTGGTGTCCTCATCCACTCTCGTAGCCCCCAAGCCTCAGCCAAGAGAGGCTGGGCATTTGGCAAAAGTAGACCATCTTCTGTTAAACCCGAATTCCGTGACGCGGCCTTCTGCATTTGGTACCCTTGGAGTACGGGTACGGGGGGCTTCTCCTCACTTTCAACCCCGGGCTTCAGCTGGAGCTGCAGCTGTAGTGCAGCCAAAAGACGCGGGGTTCTCTGCGCGATGTTCGCTCCGATTCGAGAGGACCTCTGGCCGCGGTGGGTTATGTAAGATGCGAGGTAAGGGCAGCAGAGCAAGGAGAAAACCACGCGACCAATGACATATGGACGGTTTGCGTGGGGCTGCGGTGCCCATCCACGAATTGAGGATTCATCAGAACAGCTGCTCGAGCGGTCGAACAGTCTGGTTTCGGTAGACCACTTGCTGGTTCGCGAACTTCTATCTACCCCCTTGACCGTTGAAATTCTAATTACCAGAGGAAGCATGAAGGCTGAGCGCCCAGGTAGCCCATTGTGGCTGATCTATTGTTTCAAGTGCGACAACATCAAGCTTTCTCTCCCTATATTTCTTTTTAGTTGAAGAAGCTTAATATATTGCTGTTCTTGTTCTCCCTCTACTGCGTACGGAATATGCTTTCCAATATTAGCGCACGACCTCACGAGGATTTTTGTATGCCGAACCGGTCTTGTCTCGCGTGCCCTTGCCAGGTACGGATTCATCCACGGCGGTCCTGAGTCAAGTTCCCTCCCGGGGGTCCCTGTCGCCCATGAATTTGGGGCTGCACGGGTCTTTTTTTCCCTCTTTTCCTTTTTCCAATATTGTGTTTCCCTTGTCAGATTGACACACTTTGACAGCCGTCAGCAGACAGCCCACCCCGGGGAAGGCTACTATATCTTCGGCGACCCCCGGCCTCGGCACGGACGACGGCCGATCGGGAGACGGCTCATCCGAGAATTTTACGGGTCCGGGGTGTATGTGTTTGTGTGTGTGGCCGGTTTGAAAAAGCAACCGTGAGGTTTGGCATACTCTCCAAAACCCTCCCTTTTCGTTTCTGCTGGGCATCGGTGAAGGGGAAGAGAGAGAATCTCGGCTCATCTCGCCGCGTTCCCTCGGCGCAATGGACCCCGCCGTCAAGTCTGCTGCATGGAGTAACGGCGTTTCTTTAGACGTACAGGTTACTTTGGGCTGGAGGACGAATCTCGACGGTGGTGGTGGTGAACCCTACCGGATTTCGTTACTCGGTTTTTCTAGCTGAATGAAGCCGACGTTCTGAGTCGAGCGTGATGGCGAGGGTTGTGAAGATTGCTGGCGATGAGGCGCACATGGAGCTTACACTGGCATAGGCTGCGATTCGGATGTAGGAGGATATCCGCTTCTCTGTCCTGGGGAGGTTTGGTCAAGCACGCCTCGATTTCAAGGAGGCTTGATGTCTGCTTGACGAGTGGGCTAATCATCTTGCCGTGATGGCTCTGCATTGCTTTCTACGTCTCCCTACATGAGAACGAACACGAATGGTTCCAAATGTACCCAGGCATCGAGCTTGAACTTCTTCGCTATTTCAAACTGGTACTTACCTAGCCAAGTCAGCCTGCGATGCACCAAGCGGTCAGCTCGTCTATCATGGTTGAAGCTAAAGTTTTCAGGATGTACTACAGCTACGGGCGGGTGGGTTGATAATCCCCCCATCATGTTTCCTGTTTATGGCGTGATGCAGCGAACGAGGGAACTCTGTGCTATTTTCCTTTTTCTCGCGGTGTCTCGTATGACCATATGTTCAGCATTGTTGCCCGTGACTTGACGATTACTCTTCGTGATCATTGTCTTGATTTTTGGGGTTCGGCTCGAGATCTGTAAAATACTTACGATGTGGCAGCTTACATGAGGCGGATGGAGTCCCTCGCGCGACGGGGGGATAGGTTGCTCCGTGAGCAATCGCTCCCAGTCTTTTCAGAGATGGTTTAGGCTTCTTTACAGAAGCCTGTCTTTTGAACGTTGCGAACTCAGTGTGATGAAAGGTCACCGGCATCTGGAGTGGATCTGAGGTTGTCTTTCAAAGTCAACCGCTGTTGTTGATCAGGCGCGAGCGCTCATTCTGACCATCCCGAATTGTTTCTTAGCCTATGGGGGCAGAGGGGAGAACATCTTTGGGGTTCTCGAGGTACTCGGCCTCCAACTTGGTCATTCCTTCTCTAACCAGATCATCGATCGCCAGTAACCCCTGTGCTTCCCTGGAAATCGATCTTGCATGGAGAGCCCCATGGCTTGCTGGTCTGGGCAAATCTGTGACGCATGAAGGGTCCTCATACGGTGGATTGTTGGGGTGATTTACACATCGAAGCCGGTGTATAAAACCTTATCCACTGTCCATGCGGCAGGATCGTTATAGAATCGGCAGAGTCAATGGAAGATGATACCTTTGTGACAGTCCAGCGGTTTGTTTCTATTGGATGAGAGCAACAGGAGAGTACGTCCGTAGAGCACCAATGTTGATAATATGACGGTCAGCTTGTCCTGCAAGTCGGTCGAGGCACGGCCACTATCCTCGGAGGTTCCAGCAAGACGGTACTCGGAAGCCGCTGCGAGCTGATCACTGCATCTCCAAACACAACAATGAACCGGACGATACGCGTAAAGAACGTTCCTCTGATGCGGAGTTCGGATTCAGTGTGGCCTGCATGTTCGCTGCATTTGAGGCATTTTGCCAGCAACCCGATAGCCCGGAGGACAAGTAAAGCCTCGTTTTTGGCCCGTTTGGGTAGGTGCCTCCGCACCAGCGGGCTGGGGTCTGCATGTCGCTGACAATCCCCATCCAGTCGCCCGGGAGAGCTGGGCAGGAAAGCTGAGGTGCCAAGATTTGGAGGAGTACGGAGTACCTAAGGTAGTGTAGCGTCGTCGTCGTCGTCGTTGGCGAAGTTCTCTTCCAAAAGAACCGATGGAAGGTTTATTCTGCCCGGGTTCCGACAACTCGGCTCAGGTGCGTGCGTTGCCCTCCGCACTTTGGACGGGCTGGGCGGCCCCACATAGGTGCAGGACAGGTGCGGGCCTACGAATCCTCGGCGTGGATTGACAGAAGTTTCCCGTAATCCATACCGTCAGTTCTTGGATATCGAATTCATCCACCGCCTGGCTTCCAAGTCTCAACAACTCCCCCCCGCCTTTCAACATACCTTAGCCCACTACCCCGCCGGCGTCCACGGAAGAGAAACAGCTGCAGCTGGGGCCGAGTCTACTTTTTTTCCCCTTTCGTTTGTTTCCTTATCCCCGTTCCCACACGACCGACCTACGGCTAGATTACCACCCCCAAAACCACCCCCAGCCATGCCTCCCACGAAGCTCCCGGAATCCGGCAACCCGCTGTAAGTCTAAGTTTATTCCTCTTTCTTCTCTCAAGAACCCCTTACCGCGCGCGCGGCATTCTCGGTGGATATCCAAATCCGCCTCTCCATCTCTCATCCCACTCACGCCTCGCTGTGCCTTTCACCGCTTCTCACCAACACCTAGCCTAGAGATTCTGAGAGGGGAGGGGCTGCAGTCATCTCGAAGCGGTGGCGGTGGCTGAGCTCTCGGCGTCCACACCCTCCTCAACAGCCTCTCGAGCTTCAATGGTAGAGGTGGGAAAGCCAGCACCTATTGCGCTGATATGTGAACAAGTACACGGGAGCCGGTGGCAGTCCACTACCCCGAGAGTGATTTAATCTTCACCCTTTTTTGATTTGAATTGTACAAGGAAGTGAGCTAATACAGAAGCCTGCGTCAATAGGGTCTTTTTCGACATCACACTTGGTGGTATGTATCAAATCATTCGCCGTCGGGGGGGCTCAATTTTTCCTCATGTCTTGGCCGGGGTGCTTGGGGGACGAGTCTCATGGACTGTTCTGTCGTCCTTGGCCTCTTGAAGTCTTGGGGCCACGAAGCTATTCGCAGGCATTGTGCACGTGTGCATATGCCGAGAGAGACGGATCCCCGCAAGGTTCTGCCTTACATGCTGGGCACTCTTGTCCACGAACGAGCTAGGTTGTCGTTGTCCAGATGAGTCTAGGGTCTTGGACTTGGGACTTGTCCCCTCCTGGCCACAAAGACGCTACCACCGGCGGTTGAACATCGCGGCTCAGGCAATCCCGGCTCCGGGGCTCCGAGCTGCTGGTGTGCTTCGGCTCTTCGGTGTGGCCCTGATCTCTCGGTCTACGAATCTGCTTGGCCGTCATTTCCAAAGCCCCAAAGTCTGGGAACATGTCTTTACTATCTATCCTTTGACTTGCACCGTTTCTCTCTAACGCTTCTTCGGTGTTGTCTCTAGGTGAACCACTCGGCCGCATCACGTTCGAGCTCTTCAAGGATGTAGTCCCCAAGACAGCCGAGAACTTTCGTCAGTTCTGCACCGGCGAGTCCAAGGATGCTCGGGGTCGTCCGCAGGGCTACAAGGCCTCTAAGTTCCATCGTATCGTGAGTCATCTTTCTACGCAACACTGCCAGCCATCTTACTCAATCTCCGGACCGGACACTGAAGGGGGAAGGTCATGTGAAGATAGTTGACAACGGTGCAACGGCTGACGGACAATGTCTTACAGATTCAAGGCTTCATGTGCCAGGGCGGCGACTTCCTGAATGGCGACGGTACCGGCTCGGTATGCATCTACGGCACCTCCAAGTTCGCCGATGAGAACTTCAACCTGAAGCACGACCAGCCCGGTCTGCTCTCCATGGCTGTACGTCAAGAACCTACTTTCCGAATTTGACACCAACTCGCTGCAACGCGACGAA